AAACAAACATTACACTTCACAATCACCTCTAAACTTAATCAAATTCCAACTCCACACGGAGCCTTCAGCCAACTGACTCCCAACTGACGGCGTAATCTCATCTCATCGGAAACTTTCAGCACCCAAATCCCACACATCCTTTCCATTTGTCTGGATTTTGCAAACGTTGCCCCCGTTAAATATGTTTTTTTGCTTATAGTAGCTCTCGTTCTCATTATTCGTCCTCTTCAGTTTTCTTATTATGCGCCTTTTTTTTGTTCACGTTCATCTCTCTCTTCTAAAGAGCATGGTACGGCATATATCCCAAGACCCCCGACACGTGACTCACCACATCACTACACCTAGCCATTAAATCAAGAAGCTGTTGTGAAATGTCTCTATTTGGCTCCGAACTCGGCAAATTCATCGGGAGTTTTTCAAACTGACGAGTAGTAACATTCGAAAAAACCTTGGGCAAATTCTTAGCAGCACTACTAGTAGTACTAATATCCATGGACGAAAGTGAAATATTTTTATTAGACGAGGACCCCACAGCAAAACTGGAAAGCTGTTCCTGAGCCTTGTTAGCACTAGCATTAGCATTAGCAATACTATTACTGCCCAACACAAACTTTACACGTGTACCTCTACCATTACCAGTATTACCCTCGTCACCGGAAGCTTTCTTCAAGATTGACTTGGGCTGCTGCATAGACGGTGGCGGCGGCGGCTCAGCCACGGTGGCCGGAATCTTGGCCCTGACGGGCGGCAGTTCAGGCTCCACTGGCAGCTCGACTCCAACTTCCTTCACGTGGCACCTCACGTTTGTGCTACCGAACAAATTTTCACTCGCCATGGCAAAGTCGAGAGCTTCCTCAGCGTCCGCCCGGCGTCGGTAGACCAGACGGCACGTGTAGGTTTTCCAGAAGATACGAGTCGCGTCGAGATCAAGCGGCCCGAAACGGGCGAACTTGGCCCGAAGCTGTGGGCCCGACGGAAGGGCCGAACCAGGCGGGAACTTCATGACGAGCATGGTCGGGCTTTTCCTCGACTCCACTTTTTTCGGTGGAAAATTTCTAGCGATTGGGGTAGTAGTAATGGGCCTTAGGGGGACCGATTTCGAGTCGTCTGTTGCTATTATTCTCTTCTTGATCTTCTTGTCGATATCTTCCGAGTTGGCGATTTTCGTCCTTTTCGCGAGAATTTGTTTCTTTGTGGTCGCCGGGCGGTCGGATGGGTCCCGCTTCTTGCCACCTTTTGTGGGGTCATCAATAGGCCTCGAAGGAGGTCTCGTGGGCTTGTTGTTGTCACTGGTTTTATCAATAGAACGACGCAAAGCAGGTTGATGAGCGGTTAAGTGAGCTTGAGCTTCGATTTTCTCGTTTTCAGTTCGTGGCTGTGAAACAACCAAGCTCTTACGATACACGAGAGATCGGAATTTCAGGAAGGCCGACAGGGTGGATGACGAGCAGCAACCTTTCTCCAATCCATGAATGGGATTGAGGGCAAGAGTACGAAGGTCACGCACTAGAAACGGAAGGTCGATGGCCGATTTCTGTGGGTCCACTGCATCTGAAGAAACTTTTTCCACTTTTTCCACTACTCCTCCACTGTCACTGTTAGCAAGAGGTATCTGCACAACATTGGAGCTTTCTTCGTGTCGTATTTCTTTCATTTTCTTAATCTTCTCGTTGGCTGGCATTGCATTGAGCTCGGTGCTGGCTGCTTCGGCATTTCTTTTCTTCTTCTTCTTCTTTTTCTTCTCATTTACGTTTTCGGCACTCGATTCCTTGCGCTTGAGTACCTTGACATTCGGCTGTCCACCTTCAACTGATTTCTTGGGTCCTCCAATTGATTTGACACCTTCTCTTACTGATGCTCGGTCACCTGAATCTTGGTACGTGTGGCTTTCTGTGCCAGACAAAGTAGGCAGCTCAGATGATTCGATACCATCAGCCGGGAGAAGATGTGGGGAGGCGCCTGATTGGACGGAACTCGTTTTCTTGGTGGTTGGGTGAGCTGGCGCATCCCGTCGAACAAATAGATATTTGTCCTTCTCCAGTTGGTCCTTTGTTTTAGTTGGTTTTATGGGGTGTTTACCCTTGCTGAGTGTTTCAGCAAACACCTGTCGGCCGCTCAAAGGAGCTGGCAAGAAACATGAGATGTAGACCACAATAAGAAAATGGTAGACAATATTTTAAAAATAATAATGTGGTATACTCAAGAAAGTTGGCATCGAAAGATATGTCAACTCAATACCAGAGAAATGGGCAAATGAAAACAAAACAAAATAAAATTTGTTAGAGCCTAATAAAATTGGAAAACAAAGAGAACCATTAACGTAGATGCTCAACGCTTATCTAGCATAAATCTAAATGAGCAGACAAGTGTGGCATAAGTGATAGTCACTGCTGATAAAGCTGATAGACTATCATAACCTTGTAACTGTACCATATTAGGCTAATCGGTAAACAAGAGCTAAATCACGCACAAATGCTTTCAGAGAAATTAGGAGGACCAACAAATGCAACGACCATCCATGACTGCATTCTCCACAATTAAGCTTTAATATAATATTTCAAAACACCAATAATTGGGCCAAGTTTCTTTATTGATGCATCCGTGGAGGCTAGCTAAATTCACATTCAACTTGATGAGCTAGTCAGCCTTATGATGCTTCCACAATAAATGGAGTCATGACCTCTCTCATTTTGACTTTTGAGGCTCAGTTATATATGCATGTGTGTGTGAGTAACATGAGCATATAGTATATATGCATTTATCAAGGCAAGACAGATAAATTTTCGCTAAAAATTAATTTCAGCAAAACTTTGGTCATTACTAATCTCAGGACTCATTAAATTACATACTTGCCAAAAAGATCCAAAATATCATTTTGTGAGACATGAAACTTGGCTTAGAGTGATTACTAAACCTGCTAGTTAAAGTTCTAGAGTTAAAATAAATAATTCTAATTTAAAAGTACCAAAGAAAAATACTGTTCCAGTAAAATGCTATTGGAGTTGCAGGTCATCAACAGGATCCATAATTCACTGGAATTTCCAGGTCATCAACATAATTCAACATCTACCAATCATCCATGCACACATGTTCAGTAAAACAAACTTTCAAGCCTCAGTATACTCTCACAATGGATTTATGCTAGATTCATAATAAATCATTAGCATACAACAACGCCTCAAAACCATCATGCACCTGCTAAGAAAATGCCCAAAAGCTTCCAGTTTTTCCAGATTTCCAGAACATAATGGCCCTCATTGTAATATACAATTATGTAATTGAGACCAAAAAAAAAAAACAAAACAAACCTAGGATCTCGCACATTTTTCATATGAGCAATAAATTTAATCAAGCCTTCACAACAACCCTTACAGAATGTCGGCAGAAGAGTTATCATCCCTTTTCCAGGGAAAGTTAATTCAAGGAGTTAGTTCGCAAAGAATCGGAAGTACAAAAAGTGCCTATCTAATACTGTCCCTTCAGGAAAACAATGTAACAAGAACCAACAATTCCATGCCCTACAATAAATAGTGTGCCAAAAATTAGTTGCTTCATTTAACAAAAATATATGTTATAACTGAAAACTTCAACTTGTCTGCAATTCACAGAGCAAGATTAGACCATTAGGCTCGGTGAAGCCATCAAACAGTCACCGGGTCACACTACAAAATGAGAACTCTTAAAAGAAAGGATCCAGTNAAAACAATTTCAGTCTCACAGACAATGATGCCTAAAGCAGGTTTTAAACTTAAAAAACAAGGTCCATGCTTGTAAATATTATATTGACGGTAAGACTACAAGATGATACTCTAGTTTCATTGGTTTATCAAAAGAAAACATTCATGTCAGCCAGAACAGCAATAGAAATCAGAATACAAACTAAAGATGGTAAACAGCAGAATGAAACTTAAAACTGGAAAGCAGCAAATAGCCAAAAGCACTAGCATGAAGGCTATTGTCAATACTTTTTGTTCTTCTTATTTTATACACAGGAAGTAATCATATAAATAGTGGTAATATGCATATGAGAAAGTACAAGTGATGAAGATGCATGAAACTATATCTACTTCCAGCTATAAATCTGTTACCAAAGCTTTTGTTAACCACTTCTTGAATCACATGACCCTCAAAACATAAAAGTGAAATATTCCAATCTTCTCTTATATAGGGTCTAACATGCTTTTGTATACTTACATAACCAGCCAAAATTCATATGTGCCTTTCAGTCTTTCATGATATTTAAATATATATATATATATGTGTGTGTGTGTGTGTATATATAATCTACTATGATTATATCTCACCCACGAAGGTACTTAAAAAATATATTTAAGGCCTAATTCACTGAATAATAACACACAAAGGTTTAGGGCACAGATACTTTACACTGCATAAAACCATAACAATAAGGGGAAACGTCTTCAAATGTAATCCAAAGTCATAAAAAGGTACCTTTAGATGGATCCACAGCTATTGGTTCAGTGGGCCGGGGAGGGCGCACTGGTACACTTCCAAAGGCTTGTGCATATGTTTCATCAAACTCCTCAAAAAGTGCCTTCCTGCATGCCAAAACTGTGGCCTTGTTCTTTATAAAATCAATTGCCCTATGCTGATCAGTCATAGGTGTCAAGGCCAGTTGCCGAACATAAGAAAGCATGGTTTTTGGCCGAAAATCATCTCTTGCCTTATTTATCTGACGAGAAGAAAACACACCAGGTTCATAATCTCCTACATCTACAACAAAGTAACCCTCCTTGATTGAAGGCCCGAAGTTGAACTCATTTCTACAGCAGCAGGCCAAACCCAAACCCCTTCTTCTTGACAAATCATCCACAGCCTCTTCCACTGCCTTTACAAAAGCCCGAGAAGAAGTTTGCCGAGACTTATCGGCAAAGTTCTCTTCAAAAGGAACCAACTCTGCTGAGTCAAACCATCCGTAGCTACTGTCACCGTAAAAAGCTACCAACACATGGCCCTCGCGCTTGCTTCTCTGAACAGAATGAGAAGCCAACGCCTCGTCGTAAATATGACCAGGCCACCATGGATGCGATTTCACCTTACCCCACACCATATCCCCAATTTCATATCCAAATCCAACAGCTTCAGTCGAACCTTTAGCAGCAAAGTGATCAAACTCCGACAATATTGAATTGTAATCCCCCGACGCACCTTCTGCTTTCTTGCTCGTATGCTCACCATTCCGCATATCAGTATTCTCCTCGCTATTACCATTTTGCCTCGAAACAGAATGAGTACCTTGATTCTCCAGAGCTCCCCCACTAGCATCATCCAAACTAGCTTCTTCGTCTTCGAACTTCAAAACCGCAGATTCATTCACATTATCAGAGGCCTTTATTTCAGCAGAATTTTCGGCAAGAGCCGCTGTATTGAACCCCACAGGTTCAGAGGAACCGTCGCCACTGGTCGAAGGGACGGCTGCCTCGTCTTCAACAGGCTCGTTTTCTCGATTCGACCGCCACTCGGGATCGCCGTCGCCGGCGCTCATCGTGGACACCTCGCCGATTTAAAACAAAAATCCCAAATGAAAAATGAAACAGATAAGAACTGTAATACTCGATTATAGATTGAAGGAAACTCGGAATACTGAGAGAAATGGAACCCTATGGCAAATGGAATAGCGGGGACAAAGAACATATTTCCCCCTTTTTGATATATAAATATATATATATACTAGTACAATACCCGTGTATTACACGGTTGTTAAATTAAAAAATTTTTGTAAAAAATATTAATTTTTTTATTTTTTCAGAAACTAAAATAATTTAACTTTTATATAAAATATTACTTTGGATTTTAATTAAATTGTAAAATTATATTTTTTTAATTATAATAACTAAACACCCGTACATTAAATGAAAATGTAAACCCGTGTTGATTTTTTTTTACTTATATCATATAAAAATATTGATATTATTTACTATTACATAAATACAAAAATATATATTTTAAATAAATAGAAATAATATGGTGATATGTATATGCATAAGTGTAGAATATGTTTATTTAATATTAAGAAAAATAGATTAATTTTTTTACCTTAGATGCCTAATACATCAAGTGTCATATCAGTCGTGTTTCACAGTTTTTTAACTTTATATGTAATTTTAGAATTTGTATAATAATTATTTATTTTTATCACATTGACAACATACCAATTAGATTTGAAATAAATATTATTTTTAAAAGAATACATACTAGTTTCTATTACTTTACAATATAATTTATAGTTTTATTTGATATAATTTAATTTAGTTTGATAAATAAATTTAAATTTTATTTATAAGGATTTATATTACTGTTTTGTATTATATATATATATATATATATATATAAATAAATAGTAAAATACAAAAGGACTTCATAATATCAATTCAAATGCAACAAACTAATTAAGACTTTTTTTATGAATAATTTAATATATTATATATGTAAAACTAATAAGAAATACAAAAGTTATCAACTTTTGATAAATAATTTTATTTTCTAATTAATTTTAATAAATAATTTTATTATTATTATAAAGATAAATACAGTTTATTTATTTATATATACAATATAGATGTCAAATCGAAACTCATCAAAAGATGATTAAACGATAAGAAGTACAAAAGTTATCAACTTTTAAAATATATTTGCAATTTAATGGTTATAATAGGAAATGATATTAAAATACAATTAATACAAATATTAATTTATATCCAAACCTAACTCCAAAGTATGATTTTTTTGCCAAATAGGATTCCATAACATGACAGTTTGCTACGTAGGCTCAGCGTATTCTGAAATTATATATAGATTGGATATATAATTTTTCCCTTTTATTCCATTTTAAAATTTATTAGATTTTTAATTATAACAAGGGGTTTTATTTTTTTTACCAAATTCATATGAAATAATTATTAATCCATATTGTACTTTACTAGTGCGTGGCCCGTGCGATACACGGGAAAATAATATTACGATTGTATTATAAATTAAAAATATAAATAACATTAATCATGATTTACCCATTGTCTTTAAATTAAACCAGGTTGGACACAATCCGACCGGATGGACCGAGAACCGGTTTATAACCAGTCTAGTCCGCTTGAATATAATATTTGATTTCGAATCAGTCAACACCAGTCGGTTGGACTGGTAGGATCGATACAATTTTTTTAATAAATTTTGTTATATTTAAAAATATATTAAATTAAACTACATATTTAAATAAAATAGAGATTTATAAATTATTTATCAATTAGTTTAAACATTTAAATTTATAAATTGTTTAGATATCTAAGTAACACATTTTATTTAAATTTATTACAAAAAGTACTATATATATACACACACACACATACACACACACACGCACATATATATATATATATATATATATATATATATATATATTAAAATGTTTATAAATTAAAATCTGAACAAACCACAAATGATTCAATAAAAGAGTTTGATCGTTTCGATGACGGTCAAGTTCTGAAGACCTTATATTTACTGTACATTAAAAAATATTATAATAAAATAATATTTAATTCACATAAATATTAATAAATCATTAAACATGTTGTCATAAAAGTATTGTGAAGACGATGATTTAAAGTTTGGACTACATTACATTCACGTAGTAAAATATTTTTAATATAAAATTTATATTTGAGTTCAATAATCGATTTAGTGTAGTCGAACTGATACATATAACTTAGTCATCTGGGATCAACCAAGTTATGTCAAGTTTTTTTACTATTTTAAATATCACCTAAAAGTAATTCAATCAACCTGGGCAGTACCGTAATTCAATATTGATCCGAATAAATTTTCTTATTTTCTTTAAATATATTTAATTTTATGAAATAAAATCTTATGGTTCAAATAATAAATGTCTACACCAAATGATAGTATATTAAGATTGTAAATTATATATCTAAATATGAATTAATTATTTTTACTTCATACATATTAATAAAAAATAAACATAGCAATTTTCAAAAAATTAAGATTAATTGATTGATTATGCAAGTTAAAAAATATTTTTAGCATTCAATATTTTTTTAAAGGCACAAATATAAAGACCGAGATCCTAAAATTTTTGTTATATTTTGAATTGAGATTTTATAAATATAGAGATCGTGATTTTAATGTTGTTCGTTGTTTCCATAAAAAAAATAAAAATAAAAACATTCACACTTAATAAATCTTAGTCGGATTTTTAAATAATAAAATTAACTAAAATCCAAAATTTAAAGTAGTATTAATGTTGTATGATTTTTAAAGAAAATAATAATAATAATAATAATAATAAAACTTACTATTTATAGGTTGCATTAAATTCTAACCTACTTTTTTACTACTATTTTTGGTTAATGTTAATTCTTATTTTATATATATATATATATATATATATATATATATAGATTTCCAATGAGTGGAATAATTTATGAAACTCACTAATCCAATATTAGATTGATTATTCAATACAAAGACTACTTAATAAACTAGTTCTCGATCATGTGCACATGCACAAAACCAAATAAAATTTTATACGTTATATATGTGTTTTATGTAAAATTTAAAAATCATAAATTCGATAATGAGTGTATTACATTTATAAATTTTGTCATTACTAAAACGATGATATAAATAACTATTAATTTACATATTAATCTTTAAATTTATACAATCTTGGTTGATTATGACAATTAATTGGATACAAAGAATATTAAAATTATTATTATAGTAATTGTGTTCAAAACTTTAAAGGGTTTGATTATGGCATAAAAAATAGTTAATTAATTTTAATAAAAAAAAACTTGCTTAATGAGGTGGAAAAAAAAAAGAAATAATAATTTTAAATATGTAGTTTGAAAAAAGCTTTAGAATAGAATAACATTGGATGTGCCTTCATTACTAGTTAATAGTAGCAATTATATAATAAAATAAACAAAAAATATGATTGTGATTAATAGAAAAAACGGAAAAACATAAAAACTTGACCCTCAAGGCAGAGAAGGGACAACTAGACTCGTCTCTCATTGCAGAGAAGATGCAGACCCTTAAATTGAAGCAAGAGTTGACAGATGCAGCTGTGGGTGAGATGGTTGAGGTCTCTCCCAGCTTAACCAGAAGTCTCGAGTTCGAGCCCTGGGAATGCAGCTGTGTTAAAACTCTTGAGGTAGAGCTTTGCCGCCCTTGTGGTCCTACGTATACCCGGCTCGATTCCGGATTAGTCGGTCCCCTAGGGGATTCGGAAACCGGAAGGTTCATTGTACAAAAAAAAAAAAAAAGCAAGAGTTGACAGATGTAGAAACTCAGGGCCGGCCTTGGCCCAGGGCGACCTGGGCGATGGCCCAGGGCGACCTGGGCGATGGCCCAGGGCCCAACTTGAAAAGGGGGCCCAATAATAAAAAAAAAATATCTTGTTAACTATTAAAGTTTTGTTTTTTTCATTTTCCTGTATTAGAAATTAGATGTGCCTCCAACCAAACTTAGAAAGGGGGCCCAACTTGGAAAATGGGTCCGACTGTAAGAAAACGCCTAATTGGAATTAGTTGTGCCCCAACTAAACTTAGAAAATGGCCCCAATTAAATACCCAAACATTTTGTTATTAAGTTTCTCCAAATAAAAGAAGAGGCCCACTTAAATATTTAACATTTTGTAATTATTTTTTTCTCCACTGAGTTATGCATATGAAATACCATTTTTGTTCTCACCCCCTCTATGACTACTAAAAACTTAAGTAATTTTCGAATTTGTTAATACTACGATATGTTTAATACTTTTAAAAACATATGAAATTTTTAAAAATTAAGTAGTTAAGAAATTCATTTAATGTTGTAATAGTTTTGGAAAATATATATTTAATTTAAATTGAGAAACATGTAGATTATTTCTTATATTTTTTATTTTTGCCCTTTTTTATTTTTACCCTTTTTTATGTTCAATACATGATAACTTATAAATAGATTGATTACAATTAACCAACATAATTTCAAATTAATTTTCAAAACCAACTATCTAAAATCATTATAGGTATGATTAACTATGCCTCTAATTTAAGGGGAAAAAAACACAAGACCTCAAATCAATGATCGCACTTAGAAAATAGTTCCTTTGTTGCATTGGTGCCTCTTTCCCCTTGATCCCTCATTTTATTATTATTATTATTATTATTATTATTATTCACTTAATGGTCATTCAAAATATCTAAAATTTTTATTGATAATGCAGTAGCTCATGACATTATTTTTTAAATATTGAGAGAGTTCGGGGCATTATTTTTGTTTTTGCCCAGGGCCTCATAATATTCAGGACCGGCTCTGCAGAAACTCGGAACACGGACTTGTACAAGGTGGCCCTTCTGTTATTTCTTGATTTATTTCGATGTGGTAATTGATATGGTTTCTTTATGGATATACACGTTTTGCTCTTCTGCCTGATTTATAAGGATAACTTTAACTTATGCACAAGTGCCGCTCATTTAGGAAAATCTAACTTATTATCATAATGAAATTGTTTATGAATAAGATCACATGATGTTTACTGAAAATCTAACTTATTCACGGGGTCTCATTGTTTACTGAAAATTTGAGTAACCTCCGGAAAACGAGATTCATTCTAAGGAACTCGAAATCCTCCAAAGGCAAAAGGCTGCTTCTGAACAGGCTGCACTTAGTGCGAAACAAAGACAGAGCTCAGGAGGCGTATGGGGCTGGCTTGCCGGAGCACCACCTAAAGAAAAAGTTGACGATGCATGATCCAGATTCTCTTACATACCGAAATCTAGATTTGTACGCAATTTTCCTTAGAAAGTTAATTCATCTCACAGTTCATTTATTTTTTTCTCGGGTTAAATAAATTATATCAAGTTTCTCAGCCAACGAACAATATACATATACATAATTACAGTCAGAAATTTGTATAAGTAGGTTCAGGAGTCCGATGAATCCATATTTTGCTCGACAGCACGATTCTTGTTCAGAAGTTTTGTATCCTAAATATGGATTAGTCTGTGTGTAAGTACAGATATTAAAGTGATTTGCTGAAGAATTGGACAGAGCTTCTGATATTTGTGTTTCCTGGTTAATTATTTTTTTTTTATTTACAGTTTATAGGAAGTAAATGTTTATTACGAACTAACCAAAATTAAAACGTGCAAACTACTTGTCAGATTTTTAAAATTACACTTTTGCCTCAGCCTAAAAGTATTTTGGCTCCATTTCCATCCAGTGACTCATACATTATAGTCAGACCAAAATGAAAGAATCAGCAATCACATAAAACTGTGCTTTATATTGGGGCCAAGCAGGTTCAGGCGCCTGAGCATTTAGGGTAAACAATCTTCCCTTTCGGGCGCAACATACAGCAACACTATGGCGCTGGAAAACCGGGCTCTCGATTCCAAATTCGAGCACATAGTACTTAACCCCTTTCTCGGGATTCTCCCTCACACTTGACCCTATTAATGTTCCCTTCACACCCGTGCCTCGACTTGGCATGGTTATTGTCCTAAGCACAGCTTCTCCGACTCGTTCAGCTCCTCCAAATGCTTCAATCCTGCCAAAAATTTGATCAAAGACTACTTTAGTAGATCTCTCATAAAAGGTCATGTTGCATGAAGTAAATCAAATCTGTTTTTCTCCTAATAGATGATAATTAGGGTTGCTAACAAACCGAACGTTCGCGAACACGAACAATGTTCGAATTTAAACGGACGAGCTCAAAATTCTCAAGCTCGACTTGTTAAATTCGATTACAACACTGGTTGTGGTTGTGGAGATATATATGATTTTATTACCTAATTGTACTCGGTGATTTAGCTAGCGGATTCAAGTAAAAAAAAAAAAAAAAGTTTGGTAAACAAGAGTTGTTCCATTGTATTGCCTTTTTTCTGAATCTTCTCTTCCCAAAACGAAGCTTTTTTGAGCTTTTACGAGATTAACGTTTTGGGTCCAAATAAACTAATCAAATGTCATTATTTCAGTACCAAACAAATCAATTAGCCTATTTGATTCATCAAACATCTAAATCAGTTCCATTCCGCTAATCTAGCTTCAATTTGCTTTAGTGGGATGGCACAAAATGGTATCAATCTATTGAATAGATTGGTAGATTTACTGTTAATCCACAAAATCTTGCCCTACCCATTAGACGAGTTAGACCCGTCACATTTTTATTATTTTTTTTTTTTATTAATAAAAATGCAGTCTTACGAGAAGTCGATGGGGACGGTCGATACAATCACACTGACATTCAGCTCTCCCGTCGACCCCGGCGGACCGAAAGCCACCACCGGCTCATTCACCCTCCTCCGCCGCCCACCACCACCATCCAGAGGCGGAGGATCCACCGGCTTCTCCGCCTTACCAGCTGCTCTGTACAGCACCGTCTGATCCCCTAACCAACTCTCCGGATACACAAATTCTGTTCCACCAAATCAATAACCCTAATTTATCGAAAATTTTAAAATTAAGAATAATACTACAATTAAATGGAGTAGCAGCAATACTTACTCACCAAATCCCTCATTCGTATCTATGTACCGGCTGTAGCCGCCGACCGGATAAAGCGCGTCGAGCTTGAGGCTCCGAGAAGCCTCCGGCGAGAAGCTCAATAGGAAGCTCGATACACCTCCCAGATTGGCGCCGACAGCCAGTAGAGAAGCGGCGCCGATTCCGTTGAGCAGCCGCCGACGGAATACGGACTGAAGGGGGCTGAACTGCTCCGCTGGAAGGGGGAAGGTCTGCTTGCGGCCGTTGTCGGAAGATTGCGTCATGTTAAAGGTTCGGTGACATGTTCTCATCGGCCAGGCGCCCATCATTTTGGAGAAATGGTTCGATTTTCATTTTGTGGCCCGGAATTTGAACTTTCCGTTAAAAGCCAAGTTGATGTTCGGCGGTTTGGGATTTTTTTTTTTTTTTATAATGTCATCCATTTTTAGTGGTTCATATTTTTCCATGCAAAACGAATTGGCAAATTGTGTGATCCCAAATATTTGTCTATTTTATTTGATCATATATATAATTATAATTTTAAATTTAATTAATTTAAATGATCAATCTAGTAGTTATCGAGAGTTCAATGGTTTAGTGGTCGCTCTAGTTGAACTGGTTGGATTGATATTTAACTAGTTTTTGTCCCGTGCATTTGCACGGAAAACTATATAATACATGAAAAAATAATAAAAATTATAAATAATAGTAAAAATCATAACAAAATCATTGAAAAAAATTAAGAAAAAAAATATAAATATTCTTAAACACTTCTTTATAAAACGACGTCGTGGTTTTTCTATCGTCAAAATCTCTCTCAGCTCAAATCAAAATCTTCAAACCCCACTGACTCATAACTCTAAAAAGCGTCACGTATAATTGCTCATGACGAAATGCTGAGCTCTTCAGTAGTAAGCCGACGTGCGACAGAGACTATCTTTGACTCTTATTGATCATGTCATAGCATAGGAAACACTTTTTTATATTGTTTGTCCTTGACTCTTATAGATTGATAGAGATTGTCCTTGCTTCTTAATAAAAAAATACCATCTAAATATAAATGAGTAAATATAATATTAATTTTTTATATAAACAAAAAATTTAAAGATCTGTAATAGATCTGTAAATATATGTATTTTTTTGAGTTTTTTTTTTTAAAAAAAAAAAAAACTCGTATCATGAGCTTTCCATTAGGGTTAGCTTCCAATGGACTGGAACCGCCCGCATCGTGATTTTAAGAGGCCGATTAAGGCCCTTTTGTTATATTTAATCACAGTCAGAATTTTTTTTACGTATGTTTAATTTTTTTTTCGTGGATTCAAGTTATTTCAACGATGTTCTTTTTATATATCTAAGATTTTTTTTTCTGATTTATATGAATATAAGCACATTTAACCAATTTTTATAAAATTTATTGAAAAAAGTTACTATTTTTTTTAAAAAAACTGATAAGATATTACGATAATACTGTACTTAACATAAATGTGGGATTAATTAAAATAAATCTTTTTAATTTAGTCATTAACTAATTAAATTTAACTATAAGAAATCTTCTTAAATGTGAGATTAATGAGTAATTAATTAAAAAAATGTAACTCCTTTTGGAGGGAAAGTGAAAATATTTTTATTAAATGTTTTATTAAATGCTATTAGCTAGCAATTATATATATATAGATTTATTAATATTTTTAAATATATATGATACTTTATTTATATATATGATTAATCGAACATTTAGATAATTTCATTCAAATGTTAAACTAATTGATAATAATTTATACATATTCATTATATAATTATTTCCTTATGTAAAAAGTATTTAAAATATATTAAAACTTATTTATTTTTTTTTATTTTTTTTTTTGAGAAAAACACGTCCTATTGTTCTCTCACGTTTTTTCATGGTATCTGCCTAATTAACGATCCTAGGACTACCACATGGCTAGCCACGACAATAATAGAAGATCTCTACTTCTGCTGCCGTTGCAATTCCGGCCAATGCCCAATACCGAGTTATGGCTTAATTTGCCTTGAGATATCCTCCCATCTCCGTATCAGCCAGTTTTGACTGGTTCAATCAATTGGCGACACGTTCTTGACGGGTTCGCTGCAAACTGGTTTATACAAGTTAATCAAATCAGTCAATAGACTGATTCTCTGTCTAACCGATCGGACCGAAAAGTCCGACCCAATTTTGAAAATTGTTGTATTGTGTCATTTGTTTATGTAATCAAATCTTATAATCGTATCATGTAGTAGTTGTATTCCATATCGTATTAGCCATTAATACTCAGATTAATAATGCTACTCAAATTCAAAATAATTGATGCTATAGGAAAAAATAAAATAATTAATAATTTTTGTGTTTGACACATATACTCGAGTATATCTTTCTAGATCATATATTTAAAATAAAGCAAAATTACTTTTAATATCATGAACTTTTTCGAAATTAAAATTTAATCACAATTTTTTCACTTTTGCAAATTATATCATAATCTTCAGTTTGTTGCAAATTGGTGCACCGATTTGCATATCCTGTGCAAACTATATCACAATATTCAGTTTGGTGTTCGACCACATCAACTTTTCTATGACTGTTTTCAAACTGTTTGCAACAAACAAAAATTGTGATATAATTTGCAAAAGTGAAAAAGTCATGATTAAATTGCAACTTCGATAAAGGCCGTGATATTATAGACAAATTTACCTTAAAATAATCAAGTTTTATGATAAATTAAAATTACGAGAAATTTTTTCATAACAAAAAATTATTGATGACACGTCAAATGATTATGTCATCTCACATGATAATTTGTAGGCAAATATACAAGGATGTAAAATGTAATGCGTATATTTAAAGTTTTTGATATTAAGGGTATGTATGTAAAAGAAATAATTTGATTGAACTAACTCAAAGTGAGTTTTTATAGTTAACTAGGGTTAATTGAAAAAAAATGGTATACTTAGTTGTTATTGGAGTTTTGAGTTTATATTAAAATCATATTTAAAATAAAATAATTAAAATTAATTTGATGTAAAAATAGGAGAGACATCATATGAAGTGATAGTTAGTTAAAATTATGTGAGTAGATGAATAGTGAATTAAAGTTGATATGATGTGTAAAAATGATTAGTTGTTATTATTTAATTATATTGATAATATGGGGTTGAGTTAAAATTGAGTTACATTTTGAGTATGAATTAATTTAAGTTGAGTAAATTGTTTTACAAACATAGCCTAAATGTGATGTGATATATAAAATATCCAAATCGTGAGTCGTGCTAATATGTCAAACTTTATACCATCTTTAATTATAACTATGTTAAGTGGAGATAAACATTTTCTTATGTAAAACTACTATGAGCGTGACTGGATATGAGCTATAACCGATTTTGAGGGGTTATAATAAGTTAAATAATATCAATTAATCAACTTTACACATCACATCAATTTTATTTTACTAATCATCTACGCCCATAATTTTAATTATCTATCACTTACAACAATCTCTCATTTTTATATTGCATCAACTTTAATCATTATATTTTAAATATTATTTAATTTGAAACATAAAATTATCTCTACAATCTATTTTATTCAATAATTCACATTAACTCATGATAATCAGCCAAATCGGTCAAAACCGAATGTATTGCGCCTAACGTTAATAAATAAAATTGGGTGGTTGCCGCCTTGCCGGGTTTCCGAGTCCCCGTAATCCTCACACGGTTAACGAATCCCCACATTACTGTTCTAATCAAAGACAATTTCTTTTTATTATTACAACCATAAAAATGGGTCAACGGTTGTTAGAACAAATTTATTCACATTTCAACTCTTCATCATCATAAAGTCAAATTGAAGTTGGCTCTAATCTGAACTTGTACAAAGTCAAAATAAGGTGTTCTTGTTTCCTTACAACATTTTTCATGTTAATTTATTCATTATTTTTTATTTATTTTTTCATTTTTTGGTTCCCTTTCATGAGTTCAACACCTTACACTTTCTCCACCACCACCATTCTTTGAATCCAAGAAAATTTTCCATCTCTAATGAGCTTAAGCCATATGTCAATCAAGAAAATGGCAAAATCATCATCATCATCATCATCATACCTTTCCAACTTCAGCCTGTGGAGAATCATGAGCTGCCTCCAGATCATGTTCGGCTGCCTCGTCATCCTCGTCAGCATCTCGACCCTCTCCCGATTCTACTCCCCCAACGACCAAATATGCCGCCACCTCATCATCTCCAGCGGCGGGCCCACCTTCGACCTCCCTTCCCTCACCGCCCGCATCAACGAAGTCCTCGACAAGCTCGAATCCCTCCAAAACCGTCTCGAGTCCCACGTGCAGCAAACCGACAAAAAAACCCCACCCCACCGCCACATGTCGACACTCGAGCACAAAAAGTTCCTCGAAAACGAGGTCATCCGCCCCCTCTACGCGGCCCACATCGCCCTCCGCCAAATCCGACTCCCAAAAACATCGCTCGGCGAAAAAAACGAGACCCTCGTCGAAGATCCCTTAATAAACGCGTTCGCCGTCGAAGAAATCCGAAAATACATAACTCCAAAGTCAAACCGAGCCGCTGGTCAACCGGTCAACATCTACGGAGTCGACAAAATCTACAACACGATCGGCCACGCGTGCGTGCTCATGAAAACCGAGCTCGAGGAGTACATGGACTACGACGTGGGCTCGTATTGCAACGATGATTGGGCCTTGGCCCAATCCCTCATGATCCGCGGGTGCGACCCGTTGCCCCGAAGGCGATGCTTGGCCCGAGCCTCGAAGCTCTACCTCCGACCCTACCCGATAAACGAGTCCATGTGGCGAGTGCCCGACGGAAGGAACGTTCGGTGGAGCAATTACAAGTGCCGGAATTTTGAGTGCCTTTCGAGCAAGAATCCGAAAAGGGGCTTCTCGAAATGCGTGGGATGTTTCGAAATGGAGAAGGAGAAGCTCAAGTGGGTCGAAGTCAAAGTCAAAGACAAAGTCAACACCTTGTTTCCGTTCGATTTCTCGATAAACGACGTGCTCGCGGCGAAGCCCGGCGAGATTCGGATCGGGCTCGATTTCGGGGTCGGGACGGGAACTTTCGCGGCGAGAATGAGGGAGAAAAACGTGACGATTATATCCACGGCGTTGAATTTGGGGGCTCCGTTTAGCGAGACGATTGCTTTGAGGGGTCTCGTGCCGTTGTACGTGACGCTTAACCAGAGGCTCCCGTTTTTCGACAACACGATGGATATAATACACACGACGGGTTTTTTGGACGGGTGGATTGATTTGCAGCTGCTCGATTTTATATTGTTCGATTGGGACAGAGTGTTGAGGCCCGGAGGGTTGCTGTGGATCGACCGGTTTTTCTGCAAGAGGAAAGATTTGGATGATTATATGTACATGTTTTTGCAGTTTAGGTACAGAAAGCATAAGTGGGCAATTGGGCCGAAGTCGAAAGACGAGGTTTACCTCTCTGCATTGCTCGAGAAGCCTCCGAGGTCACTGTGATTATGTACGGTTCATCATCCTCATTTCGAATCACGAGAAAAAAAAAATGTGCTTTTTTTTATTTATAAATATATATACTCGAAAAGAGAAACCAAGTTGAAATGCATTTGAAGCAAAAAA